TACCAGTGATATGTGATGAGGGTTAAAGCAGGTCAGTTAGCCCATCCTGACGAACTCAACTAGAATTAGCCACGATGGTTTCCAGAGAGAACCACGTGGAGGTCGACCTGATATTGCTGATATTGCTAGTAATGGGGCTGGGGCCATTACTAACAATCCCTTTCCCCCCAATACGTAACATTATCATACTGTATATTGACAAGATGAAGCGTTTGCTGTTCCAATTTGCATAAAAAAAATATTCTACTATTTACAGAGAAATGCTCTAAATATTATAACACTAATTCGTTCTCCGTGTCTCTCTGTTTCTCCGTTTAAACTATGCAATGAATTTTGAAACATATTTCACAGTCATTAAATATATTTTACGGAAATTATGTATATTAAATAAATCCTAATTAAACTTTTATATAAATTTCTGTTCATTACTTGTGACTATTATAAATGTGACACTAAGTTTTTCCGTTTGTCACCTCTGTTCACTTTAACAGTTCGACTAATCATCATGGGATTTGACATACACGTTCTATTTGAAACGGAGAAAAACAGACTCCTGCTGATCTCCCTTCCCCTCCTTTCAATTCTAAGGGGAAAGAATTCTTAGTAATGATCCCAAAACTCCATTCCTAGCATTATATTCTATCAAGTCGACCTCCATCTGGTTTCTCCTGGAAACCATTGTAGTTAATCCTTTTTAAATTCGTAAACCAACTGACCTGAAGGCCTACCATGAAATGTTTTCCGAAATTTCGGAGCCAAACGAAACAGAAATTTGATGTTAAAATTACATAATATATGCCGTTTGGAAATATTTAAAATGTTAAAATATTGTTCCTTTTGACTTTTATGACAGGATGTATGATGAACGAAATGTTAAACTCCATTTATTGGTCCGGTTTTGGTATAAACAAAAACACGAAATTGAGTCCGAAATTTCGGAATTTAATTTCATGGTAGACCCGCTGTTTTCATCCTCACATATTTTATCATGCATTGGTGTACCGATAACACAGACGAAATCGCTTCTATAAATTGAATGAATGAATGAAAATTGATTTCAATAATCCACATATATCTAAGTATATATATATATATATATATATATATATATATATATATATATATATATATATATATATATATATATATATATATATATACACTTAGGCTGTAAGTAATAACAACACTACTATTACAAATATAATATACAACTTAGATTGCATTGTAGCCAAAACAAAAAGTAAGGGAACGGTAAAAAAACAAATACGTGGCAGAACTCCAGATTTTCAATATAAACATTAACATGTCCGAATCCCGAGAGATTTGCGTCTGTTCGCAGTACACTTTAGTTTACTTTTACTTCTCTTATGCTGTACTAGTAACATAATATATTGTTATCCTGACTTTAAATTATATAATCGACTAGTTACTCTACAAAAATACAGTGAAAATTAACATTACAAATAATAGAATAAAGATCTGTTTTATGTTTTATAAGAGATATTTAGGTAATATAATTTTTCCGATCGAAACATCGAGATGATGATATCAGTCGTACTGTCTACTACTGAATGATTCCCCCTTGGAGGGTTTTGATAGTAGTTGCCACGTTTGGCAAGCATATGAACTACTTTACTACACAATGGCCTCATTAACCTGCCCTTTCATTCTCACCTATCATCTCTCACTGGTGCCTTGCCAACGTATACCGTTAGCGCAGGCGGAGTTACCATTTCATTATCATCCATTAAAAATATAACATTAAGTAAGCTTTTTGTTCAATTATTTGTTACTTCTTGACGTCGAACTTTATGAAATTTCATATAGAAGTACTATTTGAGATGGATATATGAATGAATATATCCCGGTAATGTAGACGAAGGCGTGTGTGAAAACTTGTAAAAAAATAATCAAATGAACATATATTTATTTTCCCATATCACAAATTGGATATTTTTACCAAAAAATACATTTATCTACTTCATAATTACTATAAGCATATTAAGGCTCTCCCATTAATGGGCTATCCCCATAAAGGGAGGATGTATACTAATTATCTTATTATATACTAGTGACCCGCCCCAGCTTCGCACGGGTGCACATTACATCATATCACAGTAGAAATCTTTAAAATTATCAGTGTTTCTCTACAATATTATGCATGTATTATACATATAAAACTTTCTCTTGAATCACTCTATCTACTAAAAGAAATCGCTTCAAAATCCGTTGCGTAGTTATAAAGATTTAAGCATACATAGGGACGGACAGACAGCGACAGCGACTTTGTTTTATACTGTGTAGTGATATATCATATAAATATTTGATATAGCCGTTATTCCATGGTTTTGGCCACGTGGACCAGTACATGCTCTATTGGTTTTGTCTTTAATGGGTGAAGATGGAATAATAGCCCTACCTGCTCTATTGTATAGCATATCACAAGTGAAAGATAAATAGGTGAGAACGTAAACAATATTTTTAAAACTTATGTTTCTCACACGATTTTCTATTCGATGTCTACATCATCATCATCATCATCATATCAGCCTTTAACTGTCCACTGCTAAATATAAGCGTCCTCCTTGGGAAGGTTTGCTAATAATTACCACGCTTGGCAGGTGGATTGGCTTTGAAGACGTTTTAAAAGAAACGCTGCTACCCATCCCTCGCCCTCCCTTAGTCGCTTCTTACGACACCCATGGGAAAAAAAGGGGGCTGCATGGCATGCTTATTATATATATATATATATATATATATATATAATAGTATATTCCATGCATATAGCACTGTCCATGATACGGCTCATGTCATGTAAGCAACAGTTACTATCCATAAGGTGCATTATTCGTGTGTTTGTCATTCTATGTTGTTTAAAAAACCTCCTATGTTTGACGCTTAAAATACACTTAGAAAAACACGAAGTGTCAGCAGTGCGGACTGTTAAGAATAACTTGTAAACACCATTACGTACAGATTTTCCTGATAATCTTTAGCTGTGGCTAACGAGCAATTCCATTAACGCTCAGGAACTAGTCTAAGTGTTAAGATGAAGCGATTTAGACACATGTGAAAAATTAAAAAATTATCGGCGAGTTATGTAACGAGCTATGCTCGGAGTTTCTTTGTGAGATAAAATCCGAAACGTAAATATTCGCAGAAGAACCAAAATGATCGATATAGTCTAAAGGATAAGTAAGATGAAAATGTAATGAGCTGGTTACAAAACTTGAAGAACCAACAAGTGATGGAAAAGTAAGATTCTTGAATAGCAACTCTGTATAGGTTAACAGCGCCATCTACCAGTTCCATTGGTTCCACAGAATATCAGCTTTTAGGCGTTACGTATGAATCATATATACGTACGAATGCCTAAACACTTAGCTGAGTGGTGACCATTTTGGTCGCAAAACTTCTAATTAGTTGTAAGTTTATTTTTGTATTTCTCTTTAAGTTTATAATTGTTTATATTCTATTTGTAATAGTTATTGATATGCGCCTAATAAATATTTTTCTTTCTTTCTTTCTAAATACAGTATAGGACGATTTCCCACTAGATGGAGTGACAATCTCAAATCTATTGTAGAAAGTGGATACAGGTGGCTTAGGACCATTCTTTATGTCAATCTACACAGGAGAGAGGGACGAGTTAACGACTCAAACAAACGATCCGTGTAATGGAGGTTTTAAATATGTTTTTATTTTTTTATGGATATTTTTATTTTATAATTACCTCACTGACTCTGAATTGATTTTGGTAATTTTATTTTTATTTTTGCATGAATGTCTTATGACATATAAGGAGAATCTTGATAGTTGATTTGAATCATGCATTTATGTACAACACCGATTAGATTAGTGAATAACTGAGTAGTCCATTTATATCCTATTTCTGGGAATCAATCTCACCTCACGAGAAGAGGTTAGAATTAGAAATTTCAACAATCACTATTTATTTATACAAGTTAGACTTAAATCTAAAATCATTCTCTTAATCAAACTTATTACTGTTGTTGTTTTGTACATCGTATGTGTAAAATGCCAATTAAGCCTCTTTACGTAAGCTTACTTATTATTAATCTAATGCTGTACTAACTTATGTCCGCAACTTCGTCTATGTTATCGGAATATGTTCACCGATACTGGTTAAAAAGTAGACTATGATCTCTTTCGTTACATATAGAAAGAAAGAAAAGAGAACCTACCAGAAGAAGATACCAGAAATAAACTTTGTGCAAAAATCGTTTGCTTGAGTACCTCTGTCCCATTCGTGTTTTAAACGTGAAGCAGTTGTGTTTGCATGAGTGTGTTTCGGTTTGAAGGGTGGAATATGGCATGAATTTACGGAGTACAGAGGAATAACACCTGAGCCCTCAGGAATGGCAACGCATGTAGGATATCATGGACAAAACAGTGTATTCTGTTATGTCCATGATACTGATCATGTCTATAGGTGACAGATACCATTTTCCATCAGATGGGCAGTCAGCTTGTTTGCCATTATAAATTGTATAAAAAATTATGTATACAAAATTATACTGTGATTGTTAAAATGGTTCAAGCGATAAGTGTAAATAAACAAATTCACTTTTATATTGATAATATTAATAAGGACGGTAATAAACACTGGACTTATAGACGGTAGTAGTATAAACACAGCGACATCTAGATCTAAACTAAGTATAGTTTGTAATAAAGGTACTAGATGTTTAATAGACATATTTAAGTATATTTTATGTATACATATACATTATTCGTAGAAAATACTCAATATAAATATAAACCACAGACATATAAGTATTTATATTATAAAAAAACTAACACGGCTATGGATAATTTTAGATTATGTTCTATATTACGGGATGTTTTAAGACGACGAGGTTAGTAGATACGTATATTTTAACTAATTTGTTACTGACAATATTAACAATAGAAAATAATCTTATATAATAAATACAAATATAGAAATTTAAAATAAAAATGGTACAGCGACACATTAACCTAGTACGTGCAATGCTAAATCAACAATTATTATTATTATAAATAATTTCTTAATAAACTAATGCACTGTACGCGTAAATATAGATATGACTCCATTTTCTAGAAAAAAAGACCCACTTCAATTTTGACAAAACCTATTGTTTTAATTTTAAAACTAACTACTGAATCGATTTTGATTAAATTTCTATCGGATCAATCTGAAGGTCTTTCAAATAAAAAAAAAATCCAATCCTAATATAAGGTGACAAATATAAACAAAAAAAAATATATCACCGAATTAAGAACCTCTTTCTTTGCATTCGGTTGAAAAGTTGTACAAAAACACCACACAAAAACCGCACCTCTTATAACTTGTACCAAATTCAATTCCGTATCGGGCAAAGACGAAACCCTAACGAGTTTTATAAACGAAAGACTATTAGAGCAATTATCGCTCAAGAATTATTATTCCATCTACTTCCTTACTAACACACAACAAATATACTGTTTAGTAACACGACAGCTTCGTTAGTGAACGTTACCGCATGCATTTTGTAATGTAAATTGTGTAATTAGTAAATGTAAGTATAATATATTATTACTATAAAAGCGTCACTTTAGTTCTGATTGATAATAATAATATTTAAAATATTTTTGGTCCATTTATATTTAATATTAAGGTAATGTTTAGTAACAATGTTCTTATAGCCAATAAAATTAGTAAATCTACACACACACACACTCAGACACGCACGCACGCTCGTACGCACGCGCATACGCACACGCTGTTAGTGTGGGGCATTTGTTTGATATAAAAAAAAAAACTTGCTATACACCGAAGTAATTTTTTCAATATTTTTACACAGTTATCAGTGCACTTTTAAATAATTTGAAGGTCCACTTGACACGCAATGCGCAAGGTCCTTGGTTCATGGTTTTATTGAGCTCGCATGATAAATCCAACTAGTTCATTTTATTGACCAGACCGGCGGACAGAAACTAGGTCTGTAACTAGGCAGTAATTTGGATAACTATTTTTTTATGCAACTTAGAATGGCAAATAAGCTGACGGCCCACCTGATGGAAAGTGGTAACTATCGCCTATAGACATGAGCAGTACTATGGACATGACAGAATATATTGTTTCGCCCATGATACCCCCCATGCGTTGCCATTCCTGAGGACTCAGATGTTATTCCTCCGTACCCTGTAAATTGATGCCATATCCCACCCTTCAAACCGAAACACAGTCATGCAAACACAATTGCTTCACGATAGAAACACAAATGGGACAAAGGTACCCAAGCAATCGACTTTTGTACAAAGTCTCCCTCTGGTCATAATTGTCACATATTTTTCACCACATCTGCTCTTCATACGCTTTCTGTTTTTATCTAATGATTAGCTGATAGAGAACGCTATATGGCATTTAGCTCGCCATTTGTACATAGTTTTATTGTGCAATAAAGAATAAATAGGTAATTAATTTTATTATACTTAATTTTTTTATTCATGCCGCTCTGTGAGTCGCATAATTCTATGAATAAATTCTTTTTCTTTTCTTCTATATGTGTATCTTACTGGATAAGTTATACATGGTTAATGGACTGTGGTTTGTGGGTTGTAATCTAAGATTTTGTAAAGTACGTTTTATGATCTGTGACATGGTGTTTTGTGGTTTCTAATCAATTGGTTTTGGTTTTTAATCTATGGTTAGTTACTTACTATGAGTTGTGCAGAGTATTTAGTATATATAATTTTAACTTTCATTTCTTTTTATGGAATTATTGTTATTATTATGATTTCGTATAATTATCCCCCATAATTAGGGAATTATGGGGGATAATAGGTAGTAGTTGCCATGTTAGGCTTTAGTGGTTGTTTTACAACACAGGGGGCAAACGAACATGCGGCTCATCTGATGGTAAGTGACTACCGCCGCCCATGGTCACCCACAACACCAATGGCATTGCAGGTGTACTGTTGGCCTTTTAAAAAGGAATATGCTATTTTCTTGAAGGTTATGTTGTCGCATCGGTTCGGAAATATAGCTGCTGGAAGTTGATTCAAAAGAATGGTTGTGCGAGGGAGAAAGTGCCTTGAAAAACGCACGGTGGAGGACCGCCACTCGTCCAGATGGTTGGGATGAAATTTTAGTTTATGGCGGGTTGTACGATGGTGAAAATCAGCAGCGGGTATCAATCCGAACAATTCTTCAGAGCACTCCCCATGATAAATTCGGTAGAAGATGCACAGAGATGCAACATCTCTACGCAGTTTCAGTGGGTCAAGTCGGACAGTAAGGCGTCGATTGTCAACAATTCGAGCTGCTCGACTTTGAATGCTTTCATATTTTAAGAGGGACACTACTGCTTATCCTTCAGCTATTAAGTTTTCTTAGTTGCCTCTTACGACACCCAGGGGAAAAAACATGTGGTCTATACCGGAAACACAGCAAATTATAGAATTATAAACAAAAACACAATATGTTACCCATGGTTCCTTTCATGTCATACCATTATTAAGAACCAGCATATTATGCTTCCATAATTTGTAACATTTCTGCCATATCCCACTCTTCAAACCAAAACACAGCCTTCCAAGCACAGCTGTTTCGTGGCAGAAACACGAATTACTAACTAACTACACTAATAGAAGAAATTAAGGTAGTTACACAAAATGTCCATTAACAGATCAAAGAAGTTAACTAAAACCACTCGTGAAACTAGAACATTATAATTCAATCGCCCGTAGCATTATTACGTATTTCGCTACGTTGCTACGGTGTAGCAGGCTACGCCGTAGCGCCATAGCCGTAAGCCACAGCTACAAGAACTGTATAATTAATTATATTACTCTGGTAATAGTGTGAACAGTATAATTTGTGTCTAAACTGTAATAATAAATGGATATTATCTTTTAATTGCCTATTGTATGTTTAATAAATAAATTAACTGTTTTGTAGTACAGGGAGGAGCTAGGAGAATACAGGACCGGAGTAAATGTAAATGTATTATATATTCTTTATTGCATTTGTAAATTCCATTGTTAATGCATTTATAAACATTGTAAGCAAGGGTGAACTTATTTCTGACAGAGATCTCTTCCAGTCAACCCAATCCAATTAGAAAGCATGTTGTTAGCGGGTAGCTGAAATGCTACAACTATTAATATTTAGAGTACATACACAAGTATACAGTTAAATAAAATATTAAAATACACAATAAAATGAAAAATTTTTAAGATATGTAGTATTTAAAAAAAAAATAACTTTAAATGTAGCAAAACCGGTTTATTGTTTATAGTAATTAAACATTCGTGTTCAGAATCTGGAGGTAACTACGCTAGATTACATTGGTAACAATATTAAAAATATTATAATGAGAACCTTTTCCTTTTTTGAAGTCGGTTAGATATTAAAATATAAAAAATCATATTATGTTTATGTTCCATAGTTCGTCACTACTAACAAACACTGTTCAAAGACTATCATTTTCAAATTCTGAGGTATTTTGCATTATAAATCATTGTTATCATGTCCTCACATCAGACGTTAACTGTCCACTGCTAAACATATGTAGGCCTCAACCATAAGGGTTGCTAGTAGTTGCTATGCTTGACAAGAAGGTTGACAACCGCAGTTAGATTTTGCTAATGTATTAAGAGAGACGCTGCTGCCTATCTCTCGACTATAAGTTCCCTTAGTCGTCTCTAACAACACCAGAAGAAAAACAGATAACCTTTGAAATGTTTATTACAGAGGGAGACTTTGTATAAAAGTCGTTTGCTTGGACATCTCTGTCCCATTCGTGTTTCAATCGTCAATCAGTTGTATTTGCATGGCTGTGTTTCGGTTTGAAGGGTGGGATATGGCGTGAATTTACTGGGTACAGAGGAATAACACCTGAGTCCTCAGGAATGGCAACGCATGGTGGGTATCATGGGCGAAACAGTATACTCTGTTATGTCCATGCTACTGCTCATGTCTATAGGCGACGGTTACCACTTTCCATCAGGTGGACCGTCAGCTTGTTTGCCATTCTAAGTTGTATAAAAAAAACCCACGGAACCAAGGAACCAGTGGCTCATTCTATTCCGAAACCGTACAACCCGGAAACATAAAATAAATCATCTTCGCATCTATTTACAAACATTACTCTAAAATATTTAAATCACCTTATTAAGCTTAATATAACGCTTTTTTATCTTAGTCTAAGTAACAAATATTTCGTTTTAAAAACGAACAAAGAAAAATAAATAAATTTTATTACAAGAAAAATCTTGTGTTTACGTATATTTATAAACAGACTCCTAACGACGTTCAGTGACATTTTTATCTACGTTTTCTCGTGGATTTAACGATCGCAAATTCAGTTATTTTATAACCGATTTAGCTATTTATGGCATATTTGTTTATAAACATAAATATAAAAAGATATATAATCCTGATATACAGTCCACACACCGATACATTCAAATATACCTTACACCTACCACAACTTTTAATATTAAATTATATTCAAGTCTAAGACCCAGCTATTTATTCCTCCCGCTATTTTATAAATAAAATGTAGTCTAAATTTATCATAAAATTAATACATAAATATCTATGTATATACCCACCTATAACCTTTTAATACAAGTAAACTCTTGAAGCGTAGCATTTTTGTCTTTCTCAGAATACCTATATTTATAACTTAAAAAATTTTAACTTCAAAGAGCAAGGGAAAAGAGAGTTCAGTGCAACGAACATCTTTTTATAGGATTTTTTTTATAAAAATTCCATTGATATTTTCTATTCACTTAAAAGATATTATATTACTCGATATTTATGATATCTACTCAATTTTATTTTCAAAATTTTACGCAAAAAGGTATTGTATCAGAATAATAATGAAACATAATAATGCACAAGAGAGAGTTAATCTCTGAAAGGGATTTCTTCTAGCAAACTTAATATGAGAGAAACTGCTAGTTTATTCGTAATTACAGGTATAAATATGTATCACTCGACTAGTTCCTTTAAACTCCCTCTAAACATGAACAGTGATATGGACATAATAGAGTATACTGTACCACCCAAGATACCCTTCATACGTTACCATTCCTGAGGACTAAGGTTTATGCCTCTGTACCATGTAATTTCATAACTAAATCGCTCCCTTAAAACCGAAACGCAGCCATGCAAACAACTGCTTTACGACAGAAATACGAATGAGACAGAGGTACCCAAAGAGACGACTTGCGTATAAAGTCTCTCTCTGGTATTATAATCTGGTAGTATTATTTACAATAATCGATTTTTATTTTTTAATTTTTTTTTATACATCTTAGAAAGGCAAACAAGCTGACGGCCCACCTGATGGAAAGTAGTAACTACCGCCTATAGACATGAGCAATACCATAAATATAAGAGAATATAGTGTTTCGCCCATTATACCCCCCATGCGTTGCCACTCCTGAGGACTCAGATATTATTCCTCCGTACCCTGTAAATTCACGCCACCCTTCAAACTTAAACACAGCGATGCAAATACGACGCTTTACGGTTGAAACACGAATGGGTCAGAGGTACCCAAGC